CCGGCATTGACAACAAATCGCCCTAAGAAGAGGAAGAGGGTTCAATATTAGAACCGGAACGGAAATTAAAATGAAAAAACGGCACATGTAATGTCCCATTGCGTTCTTTGCAGATGCAGTCACTATAACGATTAGAAACATGCTTATCGGGTAAGTAAGCGTGAAGTAGTTACTCAGCAAGTCAAAGTTATTTTTAACCCAAAGTCTGCTTTTATTTTGAAGTAATGTACATTCTTTCGAATAAATTAGCATTGTAAATTCGACTTACGAAACACTGTGGCTTTGATTCAAATAAGCCGAATTGGATGTGTCATAAGTGAATGTAATATTTACGGAAAAATTACTAAACCAACCCCTCCTTTAATTCTGATTAGTTAATCTGCAATTTTGTGTACTAATATGCTAGTTATAGAGTCAGCAGGCGATCCGCTGTTTCGACAGTCATGAAGCAAAGAAAATTTTTTTTGTTCAATTGATTAACTGAGAACGAATGACAGTTAAAGTGAATCACTAATATTTAAATGACATAGTGAATAAAATGGGCCTTCAGCAAACACATAGCAATCATACCAAATACCAGCCAACATAGCACATAAAAAATTGTGTATACCACTCATTTTTTATGATAATGGTTGTTCAATCGCTTATACAATCAATAGCCTTTTGACAACTGGTTTCGCCAAAACTTTCGTTATTTTCTCGCCTCCAAGAAAAAAGATTATTAAGTGGAAATATACTCATCCAGGAGTAAGAGATCCTGTCTTGTAAACCAGTGAAACATTTTGCTAATTGCTGCGCCTTATTAGGCAGTTAGTTGTTCGCTAAACTATTCACTACACTCATTCTAGTGGGATAGGTAACTACGACCAGGCACTATCAGTTTCCACTAATTCTGATAAGTTAAAGAGATTGAATAACCGATTGCTTAAATTCAGGGATCAGTGCATAGGTTAATCCGTCGAGGATAACAACATGAATGTCTGAATGCAATATGACTATGTGCAACGTACCGGGACAGGAACTCCTCCAAACGGCTTTCGTGGTTCATCAGTTTATGAAGCGGAAGGTTTCAATATAAAAATCATGACGAAAATCAATGCTAAAAAACGGCACATGAAATTTCTCCTTGTGTTTCGTGCAAATGCAGTCACTATAACAATTGGGAGCCTGATTGTCGGGTTCGTCAACATGAAATATTTACTTCGCAGGTCATGATTAGCTTTAACCCAAAGTTTGCTTTTATTTAGAAGCAAAGTGTATTCTTTCGAATAAATTAGCCTTGTCAATTCGGCTTACGGAACACTGCGCTTGTTTGATTCAAATAAGCCTAAGTGGGTGTGTCATAAGTGAATGTAATATTTACGGAAAAGTTACTAACCCAACCCCCCCCCTTCAATACTGATTACTTAGTTTGCAATTTTCTATTCTAATATACCAGTCATAGAGTCAGCATGCGATCCTTTTTTCGACAATCAGGCAGGAAAGGAAATGTTTTTTGTTTAATAGACTTACTGACAACGCACGACAGTTAAAGTGAATCACTGATATTTCAACGACATAATGAACTGAATAGGCCTTCAGCAAACATATAAAAACTTACAGAAAACCGCCCAACTTAGCACACAAAAATTGTATATACCGCTCACCACATATGATACTTGTTGCTCAATTTCTTACTCGATCACCAGTCTTTTCCCAACTGGCTTTACTGAACCTTTTATTACTGTCCCCTCTCCAACTAGTAGATCAGTAAGTGAAAATATATTCAAGTAGACGCACGAGATCACGCCCCTATTCTAGTGCAAAACATTATGATAAGTCTTACGCCTTATTAGGCAGTTAGTTGATTGCTAAACTGCTTATTACCCTAATTCATGTAGGCTAAGTAATAACGACCAGCCATTATCAGTTTTCGCCAATTAGATCTAGTAATTTAAAGCGATTGTATAACCGTTTTCTTAAACTCAGGGTTCAGTGACGAGTTTTATACTTCGAAGAAAACAACACGAATATCTGCAGGATGCGTTCTGTATTACAGTGTTGAACATGGTGCCATTTCATGGAACTCAGGGGGACACCAATATTATCCAGACAAAAGGCATAGCTGAATGCAATATAACCATGGGAAGCGTACCGGGACAGGAAATCCTCCAACCGGCTTTGATGGTTCATCGGTTTATGAAATGGAAGAGGTTTCGATATAAGAATTGTAACGAATATCAAAGTTGAAAAACGGCACATGGAATTTCCCCTTGTGTTCTGTGCAAATGCAGTCACTGTAACAATTAGAAGCCTGTTTGTCGGGTTTATAAGCGTAAAATATTTACTCCACAGGTCAGGGTTAACTTTAACCCAAAGTTTTTTTTTGTTTTGAAGCAAAGTGCATTCATTAAAATAAACTAGCATTGTCAATTCGGCTTACGGAGCACTGCCGTTCTTTGGTTCATATAAGTTTTATTGGGTTGCCATAAGTGAATAAATACTTACGGAAAAATTACTAGACCATTCTCTCCTTAAATTCTGATTAGTTAATCTGCAATCTTTTATTCTAATATGCCAGTTATAGAGTCAGCAGACGATCAATAATTTCAACAATAATGAAGGAAAGAAAAGGTTTTCTGTTCACTCGATTAACTGAGAACGCAGTATGGTGTAGGTGAATCACTGATATTTCAAGGATATAGTGAAATTTATAGGCCTTCAGGAAACGCATATCAACCTTATAGAAGGCCTACCAACAGAGTACATAAAATATTGTGTATACCGCTCATTATATACAATAATGGTTGTTCGATCTCTTATGCAATCACCGTGTTTTGACAACTGGCTTCGCCAAACCTTTGGTTATTGTTTCACCTCCAAGTAAAAGATTATTAAGTGGAAATTTACTTATGCAGAAGTAAGAGATGTCATCTGGTACATCACTGAAAACTTTTTGATAATTGCCGCGCCTTATTAGGCAGCTAGTTGATTGCTAAGCTCATTCATGTAGGATAGGTAACCACGAACAGTCAGTATCAGTTTTCACAAATTAGATCTAGTAATTTGAAGGAATTGCATAAATCTTGTCTTTTATCCAGGACTCCATAGAGAGTTTAATCCTTCGAGAAGAATGACATGAATATCTGCAGGATGCGTTCTGTATTAAAGTAGTGAACATGTGTGCCATTTCATGGAACGCAGGGGACATCAATCGTATCCAGACATAGGGCATAGCTGAATGCAATATACCCATGTAAAACGTACCGGGACACCACTTTCTCCAACCGAATTCGATGGTTCCTCAGACTATGTAACGAAACAGGTTGAGATATTAGAGTCGGGACGGAAATCAAAGTACAGAAATGGCACATGGAATGTCCTCTTCTGTTCTGTACAAATGCAGTCACTATAACAAGTTAAAGCATGCTTTTTGGTTTCGTAAGCATTACGTAGTTACTCATTGATGAACGCTCACCTATAAAACAAATGGAGTTCATCTTTCCCGCTCCGCTTTGGGTCTCGACAGATGTCCTGGCAGCGGTAACAGTTAGATGTCGGCAGTTTGTATTGCCAGCAAGGACAAGGAACACAGTACTTTGTCTTTACTGGTAGTTATTTCGCAGGCCATGATCATCTTTAACACAAAGCTTGATTTCATTTTGAAGAATGACCGTACAATTACATACCCTGGTTTTATATACTCTCAAGTATTTATCTAAGTAAGTAGACAATTGATTTTTTGTTAATTCTGCATCTCCTATGGAATCTAGCACACGTTTTCGTACGATAAACCGCACGACGAAATTGATAAATCTCCATGAAAATACTATCCACCTTCAAAATGCTATTTTCTTGTTTGCATTGAGTAAGCAAAATTTTTAAACGATGCTGTATGACATTTATCAACTATTACCATACATACGCAATGCTACGAGGACTAATGAAATCACTCAATCTCAAACTTACAGCTCTTACGAATATGGGACCCGGCGGCTGAAAATTGCAAATACTGACCATGAAGTCGGATCGGCTAAATCTAAATTTTATTTCATCAAAAACCTCACAGCTATCAATTTACACATTTATAAGTAGCAATTAGAACTTAACTTGACATTTATAATAGCACAGTGTGTTCCGTGCAACTGCAATCAGTGAAAGCGTTAGAATCAGACATATTTGGCTCATGCAGTATACTAAAAATCGGGCATGCTTTTTGATTTCTTTACAGCTAACCTTTAAAAAGTCAAGGGTGTTTGAACGCAGCGGAATACGTTTATCATTTAGACAAAAACACAGACTCGCCTTTAATTTTAAAATTCAGGCATCCAGACGTATAAATAACCCATAACCTTCAAGTTTTGCGACGTAGGATGAACTACTCGCTCTTCAATGTTTCCTAAAAGGCCTTCAAATAAACTCTCTGACCAGATTTTTAATTCACACAGCCACCTGTTCAACGGCTAACTGACTACGTTGATTGGGGTACATAATGATGAAATGTGCCGCCAATAGAGTAAAACAGATGTTCTAAAATACTCCAGCAAACAAAGGATTTCATTCGCCGAGGCCTCACAATTCGGAAATAGCAACAGAATGCCGGAGTCGTAACAGTTTCTTACAGGTAACCTCACGGGAACCAAAAAGCCCCAGAAGTCTGCAATATCTGATCGTTGCCACTATGGACTGTACGGGTGAGGAGATGAATTCAAGGAAATATACCAAAGAAAAAAGGGAAAAAGTAGATGAAAGGAAGCTAGCATATAGCAACGAAGAAGTGCATAATAGTCGAAAATAAGTTAAAATAATAAAGGTACATTATCATAGACTGTTGTCCTTTGACATATATATACCCACATACCTACAAAATGTTATTTTAGGCGTTTGTATGTTTACTACTGCACTCTAAAACTCGGCAATTTTCAGCTGCTTGCGCGTACTTTTATCTTTATTATTTTAAGTTTAGCTTTTAGTCTAGTGTTTAGTTTATTGCCTTAATATTACTTATAGTTTTGGAGGTCAATTACTTATAGTTTTGTTAGTTTAATTGTTAATTCAATTTATTTTTTTAAGCAACATACAGTTGCTTGAAAACTTATCGCACTATAACATCTGTCCACATGCATGACAAACTAATATGACCTTAAAAATGGCGGAGAAGCCATATTTGTTGTTCACCAAAATTTTGCTTTCATTTTGAAGATTGGCCGTACAATTACATGCACTATTCGCACATTTCCCTGAATGATAACGCAAATCATCACGTTTGCTCATTATCTCCTATGCAATCTAGCGCATTTTAAGAGCGAAAAAAGTAAGTGATGGATGATGACTGCCTGCCTGCGACACATTTTGTTTCCGCAGGATAAGCTACGTTGTGCAGTTGAGGCATTTTAATGAACATATTGCATACTTTCAAATGCTATTTTCTTGTTTGAAATGAGTTGGAAAAATTGTAAAACGATACAATATCACAGACCATTATGGGACCTACAGAGCTCGCAGAGGACAATGAAATCACACAATTTCAAACGTACCGCTGGATCACTGAACTAAAATGTTAAAATGTTGCCAATGAAGTCAGACGGAATACGCTGAGAGTTTAATTCAGTTCAGTGATGCTACCCATGTAGGCATACAAGAAGTCGAGTTAGCGAACGAAATTTTTCGATTATCTATCATCAGGCCGGTAAAATAATATAATGGAAGGTAGAGTTAGTAAAAGTTTAAGCAACCAATCAGTTATAAATGGGAGGATAGAGGGGAAGAGACGTTACTGGATCAAAGGGTCAGAATCTAATCCTCATTAGGCACCATAAAGGGGGTGGGGGGCGGAAAAGGGGCTCCGACTATTAGTTCTTGTCGCCCAGTCATTGCTGTCTCGTGTTTTGTTGGGAGGTGTCATGATCTCGTGACGGCGTGGGCAGCATAGGTATGCATGCCCTCACCGCCTCGACGGAGACGAGGTTTGCACCAAAATAGTGAAATATTCATCACTAAAATGCACCTAGGTTCTGAGCTCGTCCTAATGAATCAAAGTGTTTACGCTTCCTGCCTGGTGACACTAAGTTCAAGAGAAAGACATAATCAAATCGAAAGCCCAAATCACAACCTTTCTTCGGAAAATGAATGACTGAGGTTTCTCAAGTGCACAAGAGTTCGAAGCGCTCAAACCCACGGGTAAAGTCTCTCCAAGACATTATGGTTTGCCTAAGACTCACAAACCGGAGATTCCAATAAAGCCGCTACTCGATATGTGCAAGTCACCTTATCATGCAATTGCAAAGTGGCTCGCCGACCAGCTGAAACCG